TCAGCTGCCTCCTGCACACCCCCCGACTAGGGATGTGCCCGCAACCAAGGTACATGCCCTTGACAGAATTGAACCTGGGACCTTTCAGTCCGCGGGCCGATGCTCTATCCACTGAGCCAAACTGGTTTTGGCAAAAACTGCCACCAAAATTTTTTGTGGGGCTCACTAAGCCTATATAATCTGGCCCCTGCCTATCCTTCCAGATTCATCTCACACATATTCTAATTTTTACTGTGATCCAGATTTCTTTAGCCCTTTGGACTTTTCAACCTCTTTTTGGGTACAGGACCATTTCCTTTACTCATTTCTCCTCCCTCTATTCTTTGACTGACTCCTACACATTCTCCAGGTCTCAGATTAAATGTCACTCCTTCAAGGAAACCTTTCCTGACACCATAATCTGTTAGGTTCCCCTCTGATACACTCTCATTATATCTTATGCTTTCCCTTCATCATACTTGATATGGTCACCACAACTTGTAATTATTTATTTCTATGATACTTGTCTAATATCTTTTTTCCCCCCTAACTTTCTACTTTTCACCTTAAACCTCCAATCTCCTATAAACTCTCTGGTAGGTATTATCTGTTTTGTTCCAACTGAATCTTTATTAAATATTTAGAACACATTAGATCCTTAGTAAGTATTTGTTGAATAAATTAAAGAATGAAGTTAATTGTGCTTTACCATTCTAGTATTTTTCTTAGTGATTCTAAATCTTAAAATGCGTTGGCTAGTGCTTTGGAGGATGCCGAGAGCATAATTTATAATACCATATTGATAAATTAGACCCTAAGAATGTTTAAAAATAGAAATCTATTTTTTTTGGTATGATCCTAATTAATATATCTCTTTGGTTAATGCTTATTATAACTACAATTCTTTTTGTTTTTTGTCATAGACGAAAAAGGCGTAACTTCAGTAAACAAGCCACAGAAATCTTGAATGAATATTTTTACTCACACCTCAGCAACCCCTACCCCAGTGAAGAAGCCAAAGAGGAGCTGGCCAAGAAATGCAGCATCACAGTGTCACAGGTGAGCGAGGACTTCATGGATCTGTCTTGTTTCCCCAGTCATATACAAACCCTGTTCTTTCCTTAGAGCATTCTCGCCAAATTTCATATCCAAATGTTTCATCATCAGAGAAGACATAAAGAAAACATATATATTTCCACATTTTTATTCAAGTTTTTAAGTTTAATTTTTTTTAAAACCTAAGTGGCAAGGAGACAAGATAGTCACCCACCACCCTCGTGTAAATCTTTGATAGAAAGGACATAAACATGCCATGGGAAGAGATAGTTTAGTGGCATGTAGTCCTACTATTCCCAATTCAGATGACTGGCTGAAGCTTCCTCCAGTGAGAAACCAATTCACTTGTTGCTGAAAGGAAATCTATATATATAAAAGGCTAAGTGTCTGTCCGTTCGACCAGTAGCTATGACCTGACCACCAGGGAGAAGATGCTCAACGCAGGAACTGCCATGACACGCACTGGCCATTTAAAAATAAACAGCACCACAGACCTGTTGCCAACAAACCAACACTCGGCTTCCCCCAAGTGGGACACAGGCCCCACCACCACCCCAGAGTGACACCCCACCAGATGGCAGCCAACGCTGCCAAGACCCCATGGCTCAAAATGCAGGGCCCAACCCAACCCGGAAACAGTTGATGGTGGGCGCCAGGTAATGACATCCTGTAGCAATGCCCAGCTTCCTCTCCCTAGCAACTAGCCCCCTTGAAGTTTCTTCAGCCCAAGAACCCGACTTGCTTTATAACCAGGTGCCAACATTTTACAGTTTAACCAAATGTTTGTAAAGCGTTTTCACGTGCCTCGTCTCATTTGATTCTCACAGAAGTCCTGGAATAGGTAGAAAGGAGACTCGGTAGAATTCTATTTTCTTTTCATTAGTCAAAAAACAGATTTACAAAGTTTAGAAACTTGACCTGACTGAAAGTAAGAAACAGTGGAACTTGAAAATGACTTCAGGTTTTCTCACTGCGCAGAATATAGTCAAACACTGCTAAAGTTAAATATTTTACCCTTTGTTCTCCCTGCAATTTGTGATCTACAATAATAAGGTCGATAGGCAGAGTGGTTAGGGGCAATCAGGCGGGCAGGCAGGTGAGCGGTTAGGAGCCAGCAATCCCAGATTGGAGAGGGTGCAGGCTGGGCTGAGGGACACCCCCCACCCCCGTGCACCAATTTCGTGTACTGAGCCACTAGTATATATATAAAAGGCTAAGTTGACTCACGCATGCGTGATACATATAAAGCTCTCCCTGGCGCCGATCGCACGCATATGTTTTGATCTGTCATTGTCAATTGTGAATTTGGTTGACACTTCTATTATAGAAAAAGGATGAATAGCGATATTAAAATATTTCTTCTAATTAATTTTCCAATGTGCATGAATCCGTGCACCAGGACACTAGTTTCATATAACTCTTTGGTGAAAGCTTTGAGGGATTCACCAAATATTTTCTTGATAACCTTGCTATTATGATATCTGGGTCCCAGTGATTTCTGTGCTTTCTTGTTATTCATTAAACAGAAAAATTAAGTTCATTCTTTTCACTGTTTTGTATTTTGTTTTAAAGGTCTATTTTTAATAAATTATAGCCCTGAAGTTGTCATTATCTAACAAAAATACATTTCATTTTAAGCAGGTATACTGATATTTAGATTAAGGATTGGCAACACATAAATAAATAACTGTACCTCCTTTAAAAATAAGTATATCCAATTGGTATTGGCTTGAAAATACAGTTTTATTTAAATATTCATATTGATGCTTACAGGTTTTCATTTGAATATTATTTCTTTATACCATGCATATGTAATAGTTACCAACCTGTTTTTGCAGTGGAGCTTAAGGAAAAGCTGACTCTTGCCAGAAATTTCAATGTTTCCTAGAGGTCACATAACACAAAAATTTTTACGTAGTTTCTAAATAAATACTCCTGCTCGTGCATCTGAAGTGCAAGATACTAAAGTTCCCCTTCACATTCCAATGAAAGTCAATGTTATTTGAGGGAATAGGGGCTGGGTTGAAGATGTTATCCAGCTCTTGTCTTGGCATTAGTTTTCATAGAACCTCTTAGCTTAGATTTATAATTAATATTTTATTTAATATTTATTGTCATTGTCCTATGTATTTCTTGATTTTTTCTTTTGTGGGGAGGTGGTCCTCAGATTAAATGGAATATAGTCAATTTGAGTTACCAGCTTATGAAAACATGCGTTTTATAAAACATTACTATCTGGGTTATGTAGTACTCATTGCCACTTGAAATACTAAGGAACAATATAATTTTCTGGATTAGACAGGGCAGGTGAAATTAAAAGTGCACTTATGTCAAGTGGGTGTTTTCTGGTGTGTGTGCATTTCCCCAAGCATTAGTGAAAGGATTGGGCTCATGCTGAACACCAGCTGATGATGCCAAGCCTGGTTTTCTGGCTTTCTTAACAGCATTCTGACTTAGAATTCTAATGTTTGCAGGTCCAATTTAAAATAATGTGTTTTTGTGGTTCCTCTTCTTTTCTTTCTGTTTTATTTCTATAACATACTTACCATTGGAAAATAACACAGATCATACACATTTTTCAAAAACTGAGATGCTCCTGGTTTTTCATTAGTTGGAGTTTTAGCATTTTGTGTGCAATGTAGGGTTTGCTTAACATACTGCTGTGTAATAAGTGAGGGAAAAGTTTCCTCTGACTATTCTAAACCAGGGAGGTGTTGCTTGCCTTCTAAAGTAGGATAGGGCCGAAACCGGTTTGGCTCAGTGGATAGAGCATCGGCCTGCGGACTGAAAGGTCCCGGGTTTGATTCCGGTCAAGGGCATGTACCTGGGTTGCGGGCACATCCCCAGTGGGGGATGTGCAGGAGGCAGCTGATCGATGTTTCTGGCTCTCTATCTCTCCCCCTTCCTCTCTGTAAAAAAAAATCAATAAAATATATAAAAAAAAATAAAGTAGGATAGGAACCCCTTTACCAGTGATTTTAATAAACAGCAACTTACTTAATTACTAAATTAATAGGTTATTAAACAAAGCTACTGGTCAGAGTGTCTGCCCCCTAGTGGTCAGTGCATGTCATAGTAACTGGCCGACTGCCCCCTGGTTCACATCATAGTGAGCGGTTGAGTGGCCTTAGCATATCATTAGCATATTACACTTTGGTTGAACAGATGACCAGACACTTAGCATATTAGGCTTTCATTCTATAGGATGGTAATAACTTGAGCTTTTAAGGAAAACTGAGGAATGACATGATCTGACTTGATTTTAACAGGGTCACCAAGGCAGCTTTGTTGACAATAGACCCTGAAAGCAAAGGGAAGCAGAGACACCTGCCGATCACCGAGTAAGATGATGGTGCCTTGGGCCAGGATAATAGTTGTAGAGGTGACGAGAGGTGGCTGGACTCCAGATAATTGTGAAGGGGTAGCGAGAGGTTTTCTGATAGATTAGATTAGGATGTAAGAGAAGAGAGAGTAAAGGATGACTAATTTTTGGCCTGAGCAGTGGAAGGATGGAATAGTTATGAAATGTGTTGGGGAAGGTTTGGGGAGGAGCAGGTTTTGGGGAGAGAAAGATCTGGAGTTTGGTTTTGGATGTATTAATATATATTGTAGTTTTCAAAATTTACTGTACGTTATAATATATAAATAGGCATAAGTAAGTAAAAAATTTACAATTTTTATTAGTCCTACATTAATTTATGCTAATATATTATAAAGATAAATATCCTTAATATGGAATTATAGGCAGATCTCAGAATTTGAAATCTCTGCTGTCCTAAGGCTTGGTTTGATTAAGCTGGAGTTCCCCTTTTACATAACACCCTGAAAATTCACAGAAGAAGAAATTATTTCAAATGTCATAAGCCCTGAGAATCATACTTAAATTGTCACATATTCTTAGTTAGTGGAGCAGATATTAATATGCTTTTACTTTTTGGAATAGAGCTATCTTGCACTGATTATTCAAGTTAGCAAGTCACAAAAATCTCCATTGTTCTCCTGATTCCAATTTTGAATTTAAATAATTCTGGCTGTACTTTCTGTGCTAGAAGTTTTTAGAATGAAAAATATTAACTTATTCTTCATTGCTAGTCTAATTGAAATGTACTGTAAAGAAAAGATTGGCTTTTTTTTTAACAGATGAAAACCTGAAATGGTAAGAAGGTTAATTGGCAGCATTAAGATTTATTCTTTCATTCATTCGTTTATTCAGCTAACGTATTTTGGAACCTTTACAGTGGTGCACAAGACGCACTTTTATAAATAGTCTGGAATGAAGAAAAGTGCCTAAAACCCTTACAGATGAGGAGACTGATGTTCACAGAAAGTAATGATTTGACAAGAGACACAGGTCTTCTGGAGGGCTGGAGGTTCTTACACAGAGGTTCTTGATAAAAAGGAAGAAACTGGATTTTTGCTTTTTCCAGCAAGAGGCAGTGTGATTCCTCTGTCTCTGAGGCCTCAGCTACAGAGTCCTGGTTTGTGAGGCACAGGCCAGGGCTTATATCACTAAGGCTGCATCATTCCCCCCAGCTACTTCAGAGACTCCAGGCTAGTTAGTAGTCTGAGATCTCCTTACTCATTAAACTACTTATTCCAAAGCAGTGAGTATTCACTAAGCTAATTAAAATTTGTAAGTAAGATTTCCTTATTAAAAAAAATGTATTAAAATAAGAAGAAGCCTGTTAAAATAATAATTAGAACAGGGGAAAAGATGACTATCAAATTACAGTATCTTTTTCAGCTATCCATAAAGGCCTTTGCAGTTACTTTGGCGGTAGATAGAAGGCAGAAATAGATTGTGCTGTGAGTATGCAATTGGTAAACTGGAGACCAGTCGAAGGAAAATGGCAGCTATTTGTTAAAGTGGTTCTCTCGCACTGTCTTAAGAGAAGGCTGCAGCCCCTCTGTTCTGTGAGGGCTCTGATTGTGTGTCCGAGTGGAGATGGGTATCATTAAACAGTGTGCAGAGGACAAAGGGGCTGGCTATAAAAAGATGGCAG